GAATTGATGAGTCCATTCAAAATAGATCATAATTGAAAAGCTGAAAGTATTAAACAGTCATTTCATCCTAGTATAGGACTCCTCTGTAGTGCGTATCTATGATTCCGTACAGAAGGGATTTGAACTCAGGACCTTCGAACTGTATACCATTGAATCATCATCTGAAGATGTTAATGTCTAACTTCAACTAATTCATGATATTATACAATTGTCTACCATTATCTTCAATGAGTAACTGTATCACAACAGACACAGATGAATTGCACTGATCATGGCTTCTCACTTGAACTCCATGAAATACATCTTGAAGTCATGATGTTTATTATTAGAATGGGAGTTTGTGGTGATTATAGTAATTTATATTCTATACTTCAGAAACAATAATACTGTACAATACAAATGAACAATATATATACACATAACAGACGGTAGGATGTACTACTCGTTATTTGTATCTTCAAACCATGTACAATATTGGATGATACATGTAATCTGATTGTATGTATATGATAGATGTTTCTTAGTATAGTAAAACTTTATTCTCAATATTATGTAGAAACCTTACAATTGAGAAACTTTTCATTGTTTCTTTCCTTTTTGGATTATACACAAATGAATACTATGTAATGAATATCAATACTGGATCAGGATGAACTCTATTGGTTACCACAAGTTTGACCTTGAGTATGTAAACCAATCAAAATGAGGCGGGAATTTGTTATTTACATTCATGTAATCTATAATAGAGGGTGTGGTTTGTTCTCTATAGTTCTTGATGATTTGCATAAAGCATGTAAAGTTTTGTACAACAAAAATTACCAGTCCAACATACTATGAATATGTCAAGTGTTGTAAAATTTAGTCCTGATATGAGAAAAACTACAATATACCAAAAGACATACGTGAAATAAGTCTATACCGAAAATATTTACAATTGACTGACTAGATAAGCTGAAATGTAAATGTAACTAATGACTATAATACATTTAGATGATTTATAAATGTGGAATATATCCTAAGTTTCAATAATGTTTATATGATTTCTTTTTTAGGGGTTGGTTTTTCAGTTAGAAACTGATGAACATTATTTAATTATTATGAACATATCATCATGTGTATTATTTTCAGTTTTCTTTTATTGAACTACTTATTCATATATTGTTGAATTGTATTACTATCATTAATTACATTATGCATAAATATGTATTTTATCATAGTTCAGTTTACCATCTCATTCTTAGATCATGTTAATTGGAGATTGAACAAAGGAAGGAGGGGGGGGTGGTTCTTTCTGTATAAACCGGAATGATTGAATTTAAGGATGACTTGAAGATCCTAGTCATCCGTAACAGGTTTCTTTCAAGGCAAGAATGATAAAATAAATAGGATCATAAATATTTATATACTGGAGAATTGTTCATATGATGAGTGCTGTCATAAATAGGTGACTAAGAGTCATTTGAACTAGATGTTCATCAAGTTACTGAATGACAAAACAATAACCCTTTAAACTATGATCATGATCTAATCGATATTTCTGTTTAACGAGTATAAATTCCTCCTGTTCATGTACGTCTAGATGGAATGTAATGAACTGATATGTACATTTCAATAGAAATGTTTTATCATTGTAAGTGTGACTTTGATTAAAGGTGTCGAAATGTTTAACCATTTGTCTCTGACGATTCTTGGATGAACACGTTGGTAATTATTACTAACAATTTATTTGTTACAGGATTTATATGCTAACTCATACTAATCCTCAAACAATTCTGAAAGTATAGTTTCATAGTGCTTAGGATTCGAGTGTATGGAATGAATTCAGTGAAACAGTTATATTTGAAAAATGGAGACAAAAAATGACAGAATGTCTTTGTAGAATGTGAGAACCATACAGTGAATACTACTTTTGCAAAATCTTAATCAATCGTTTCAAACTTCACCGTTCCTTCATTTCTACAACAATCATTCATTGTTCTCATTCTCTTTTCATCTATCTGTTTAACATTCTACCGTCAGGCATCTCACTTTAGATGAGTGATACATATTACTTATATCTGTCGATATCAGTAGTACTCATCACTAAACCATTCATTATAAGTTGAATGAAGATTGTTGTAAAACGCATTAGGTAAACATTAAAACAATGTTTATTGTAATTTTTATGCGAAGTATTGTATGACAATTTAGTACTGGTATGATTTATTAAGCCATGATGAGTTCGTTCGTCAGAAGTATGGAGTGCGGAAGGTCATTCACATTGACGTAGTTTGCTGAGTTCAGTTCGTTGTCTGGCTCATGATTGGATCGTATGAATTGTTGCTATCGAAATATACATCTCACCGACCCTCGCATATAATCATCGAAATCAGTCACATTACTAAATAACAGAATTAAAAATAAGTCCCATATGAGAATAGATTACGAATACGCATATTTCATACAATCGTTGATCTAGACAGACAATCAGATGAACGATGCGAAGCGAAAAGAAATGACGTGGAGTGAAAAAGGCAAGTGACTCAATGTTTATTATGAAACAAAAGTAAATTACAGACACATGATGAATAGAGTAAGTAGTTAACTCAAAGACAATCACATCAAAACAGTCAGCGTTAATAGGCCAAAATGTGACTTGTGGAGAATGAATAAATTAGTTTGTTCACAAGCTAGAATAACCTATGTGGGCTTGACATAGTACCAGCCATTATAACAATCGAAAGTTAATATATGTTAATCATTGTAAAATGTTTGAATCATTCTCAACTTAACTAGCTTTCTTCAGAATTGATATTGTATCCTACTCTAAACATTTAGCTTACAATACACTCATTATTAATAGTCTAAGTTACGAAACACCATAGATGAAAGCTTAAACTTGAGCCTTCTACTTGATTGTATTAATCAGCAAACAATTCTAAAGAAGATGTGAAATCAGTTCATAATGACTTGACTAACCTAGTATCCTTCATTTAAATCACTCATTTAAAGTAGTTGTTAACACTCTAATTGACCAATAACAATTATACTGTCTGGGATAAAACCAATGGAGACATTGTTTCATATTCAATGTTATTTTGTTTACTTTTCAATTATGACTTCATTTCCTTATTCACATGTTGAATGTCTCTATCTGAATTTTTAGTTGAGAACTGTATTTTATTCCGTTTACTGTCTATTTACTTAAGGTATTCTTGTTAAGTCACTCTATTCATTCATCTTATCCATTATGTTATGTAACAACCATTTAAATGGATTTTTCGATTGTAATCTTCTTCCTTCCAATTATTCAGTAATAGATTACGATCATGAATCGACTGATGTTAGACCACCGTTGGAAACCTGGAAGCACTGGACGGCCGTTTCGTTCTAGTATGGGACTCATCAGCAGTGCAAATTCACGATCCCGCTCGCGGGATTCGAACCCAGTTCCTTCAGTCTCGCGCGCGAACGCTTAACTTACTGGACCACTGAGCCGGCGTCCAATGGTGTTAGTGTCTAACATCAACATCAACGTCCTATACCAGGACGAAACGGCCGTCCAGTGCTTCCAGGTTTCCAACGGTGGTCTAACATCAGTCGATTCATGATCTCAATCAAAAACTTAATAATCTCCACAACCCCAATAATGATAATCAGTATTATTTCATAATCACTATGACATAATAGATTTGTAACATTATGCGATTCCTTGATGTGTATTGTTGAATCATTGTAAATGACATACATGTAATTATGTAATAACGTAAAGCTATGATGAAAAACTTATTGAAGACCATTGACCAACTCTAAAACGGCTTTAGATTATTCACCTACATACTAGAGTTAATTGAAGGTTATAATATTAACATGCGGAATTATGATTATGATTCACAGTTGGCGGTTAGGTTTTGGAATTACATTTGATGTTTTCATCACGAATTGACATAAGCTATAATGCCCCCACCAAATAGTATTTAGCCGAACGACTGAATGAATTTCGCGCCAAAATTCAAGGTTTGTTATCTTAAATATGATTGGTTCATTCATAAAATGGTAGTTTCACAGAAATTTATTCTTTCTTTTCTTTTCCTAAGTAAATATCAAAAATAGGAATTGTCAATAGTTTCAGGTAATCAGTTTGAAGTATTGAACATGTATAATTCATTTCATCTGGGAAGCATATTATTTTTAAATTAAATTTCGAAACTCACTGGGATTCAACTTATATAATGAATATAACTGCAGGTCCTAGGTTTGAGTCTCGCGCACGGGCCCGTGGACGTATACTTTTGAAGTGTTCCATGCTGGAAAGGAATTGCCTTCTCGTGCTTTCAGGCTTACAATGAATGTCTTACACTGATTAGTTCATAATTTTAATGAGGATTTCGTGAATTATTTAGATGAATGGGAAGAACTGAGGGAAGAGAATTGACTTCACTGTTAAGCTAGTAAGCTTTCTTGGAAAACAAGTAAAACGTTAATGTAGTGTATACTACTGATATCTGACGATATCAGTAGTATATTTCACCAGTCGGAAGTTAATTGTCTGGAGGTAGAGGGTTAAGAAGATAAAAGAAAAAAGAACGAGAACAAAGAATAATTGCTATGGAAATAAAAAGACAATGAACTTTGAGATGACTGAGTGACATTTTGTCAATGAAGTATTTACTAAAGAAAAAAAACATTATTAATCAATGATGGATAGTGTCTAGCAATGGAAACCAGGAAGCGTGTTTCGTTCTATTTGAGGCTCGTCAGCTGGTTGCAGGTAGGTCTGATATGTAGTTACATCCATCTGAACAGTCTTAAATAAAACGAAACGTGCGTTAAACTGGATTCCACTGCTAACTACTATCCATCTTTGCTTAAAAAAAATCTTGTGACTTAAGGCTATATCGACGCAATCCTCACAGGATGTACATATGCCAACATGAGACTGATCAATTTTATTCCTTAATAACAGTCGGAAGATACAAGTAAATCAACAGCAAGTGAATTTAAGAAAACATTATTATTATTATTATTATCATTATTATTATTATTAAAGGAATTCACCCCATTTGATTACAATACATTGATAATAATGAAATAGGTTTGTCCATATATAATTAACTGATAAACCAATCACTGAAAGATCAAACATGACGTAATTCTTATTGATTATAATAATTATAAGAAAGAAACATTACAATAGCATAATGGTTCATAGAAGGTAAATAATCAGATCTTGATTACCACTTTGGATCATTGTATCGAGAAGAATGTTGTAATACAATGTTACCTTGAACCTAATTGAATGTCACGTGTCATTGTATGTCGCTCATTATTTTCTTTAATTTACACTACTAGATATTTGTGTACTGTAAAGTACATTACTAAGATGAATGATCTCTTCAAAACATTTAGAATAACACAATCAATAAGTTTTTGACTGAGATCATTAATCTATTAATGTTAGACCACTATTAACAAATTGGAAGTTGAATCTCTAGAGATTAAGCATTCATAACCGAGACTGAAAGCCCTGATTACGAATCCTGAGAACAGAATCTTGACTGTGCACTGCTGAAGAGTTTGAAAATAAGACAAAACGATCATCCGGTACTTCCAGGTTTTCAATGCTAGTCTATCAATTCGATCTATTTAGTCTTCTGTTGTCAAGTTTTCCACTTCTGATTAGTATTACATACTACTTATATCGACAGATATAAGTAGCATACATCGTAATACATGTTTCTTTTCTTAAACAAAACAAAACATTTCACAATAGTGTGCTTTTCTGTACTGGTAATAATACTAAATATAAGTTTTATTTTTGTTACTATGTAAGTAACTTACAACATATTTGAAAATTTGCTGATTTTTATAAAACAGAAAAAGATTTTTCAAATTAATGCAACATTCACTGTTATATCAATGTTTTAATGATATGAAAACCATAAATCAGTAAATGGCTGTTTCAACCTAGTATGAGACTTCTCATTAGTGTGTATCCATGATCCTGAACCAAAGGGACTTGAATCCAGGACGTTTGATCTGGATTGAGAATACTTAACCTCTAGACCACTGAGCTGACCGGCATCCAATGATGTTAATGTCTAACTTTCAACAATTTAGCTTTTATCAACTCATGAGTTTAACTATTAAATTGGTGAAATCTCCACAAAACCTCTTTCTGATAATATCTTTAAAGTTTATGCAGGGTCTCAGACTTCATTCTTAATTCGTTTCCACACCAATCATTCTCTATTCTTGTTCTCTTGTTTTTGACTTTTACTGCCAGAAATTTCAATTTCAATTAATGATATATACTGCTTATATCTGTTGACATCAGTAGCACACATCACAGCATAAATATATGTTAATATTAATTGATTGACAGATCATAGAAATTATATGTGATTGATGAATTTTCTTGTCTTTTAATTAATGGGACAACTAATTTATGAATGAAGCCAATATGGACTAGAATATTTGTCGCCATTTATTAGGTAATATTCCTTTTTATTACAATCAAGTATAATGATACAATTTAAGAGTTAAAACTGAGACCGGATGTCATGTGTTTGAACCTCACATAAGAGATCGTGGATGCGCATTGTTCAGGAGTTTCACACTAGCACAAAATGACCATTCAATGCTTCTAAGTTTCCAATGGTAGCGTAACATTAATCCATTTATGATCTCAATCAAATGCTCAACTATCTCTACAACATCATTTTAATAAAGTTATAACTTACCACATGATATTAGGTTGTTTGGAACATTCTAAAAATTTAAACAGCATTATAAAAATGAGTAAATTGTTAGTTTGGCAAATATAATTCAGAAAACTATTATTATCTAAAGAGAAATAGAGAATAACTTGTTTAGTGATTGAGATCATGAACCGACTGATGTTAGACCACCGCTGGAAACCTCATCCTATTGTTGGACTCTTCAGCAGTGAGCATCCACGATTCCGCTCGCGGATTCGAACCCAGGGCCTTTAGACACGCGCGTGAATGCAAACTGAGCCGTCATCCAATGGTGTTAGTGTCTAACATCAATTAATCCAGGAAATGTGGGACCATCTTCCATTGTGCTGAGGTAGATACCTGTCTCTACCCGACACGGATTAGTTTCACCGGTCAAGAATACGAGTGTATGGAATGTATTTGACACGAAATTACAGAGTATATGATACAGATAACTTGTCTAACTTAAGATGGAAACACATATCTTTGATTTCTTTACTAGTTACTGTTTATTTAAACGTTATACAAGTATTTTGAAATGTTCTTTCAAACGTTAATATATAGATTATCATCAACTCTAGACACATAGACAATACATACTGTGAACACACTTAATTACTTACTTACTCACACCTGTTACTCCAAATGGAGCATAGGTCCCCAACTAGCATTCTTCAATCCACTCTGTCCCGAGCCTTCCTTTCCAGTTCAATCCAATTTCTGTTCATTCTTCTCATGTATGTCTCCATTTCTGGGTGTAGTGTGTTCTTTGGTCTTCTTCTTTTCCTTCAGCTTTGAGCATTCCATGTGACGGTTTGCCTTGTGTGTGTCCTATCCACTTCCAGTGCTTCTTACTGATTTCTTCCCCCACTGGAAACTGGTTTGTTCTCTCCCAAAATAGGTTGTTGCTGATAGTGACTGGTCAACGGATCTGAAGTAATTTGCGTAGACATCTGTTAATAAACACTCGTATGTTCTGGATGATGGTTTTCGTAGTTCTTCAGGTTTCCGCTCCATACAGTAGAACTGTCTTGGCATTTGCATTGAAAATTCTGACCTTGATGTTGGTTGACAATTGTTTTGAATTCCAGATGTTCTTCAGTTGTAAATATGCTGTTCTTGCTTTACCGATCCGCATCTTCACATCTGCATGAGATCCACCGTATTCATCAATGATGCTGCCCAGATATGTGAAGGTTTTAAATCTTTCAAAGCTTCTCCGTCAAGTGTGATTCAATTGTTGTATACTGTGTTGTATCTGAGAATGATGCTTTTCCCTTTGTGTATGTTGAGACCTACTACTGCTGAGGCTGCTGCTACACTTCTCGTCTTCTCCTGCATTTGTCATTGCGTTTGTGATAGAAGAGCCAGGTCATCTGCGAAGTCTAAATCATACAGCTGCATTCTAGCTGTCCACTGTATCCCATGTTTCCACTCAGATGTTTACGTCTTCATGATCCAGTCGATCACCAGATGAAAGAGAAAGGATGAGATTGAGTAACCTTGCCAAACAACGGTCTTTAACTCAATCGAGTCTGTCTATCATCCTTTATGCACGATTTCGCAGTTTAATCCATCATAGGAATTCCGTATGATATTGACACTGTGAACATACTATGTAAATTAAATATCATCATATCCATCTATATAGTAAGATAACAGTCCAATATAAGTAGTATTAGCACATTAGTTTATACTTACTCTTAGGATCTTTATTTCATAGAAATGAAAGGCAATTCCAATAGAATACTTTGTTATTGAAATTCATTGTTAGGTATACACCATTTAAAGCATTTCTTGGTACATTCATTTTTGGTTAGTTACCAAATTTGTCAAAGATATTCATTGAATTTCGGAAGACAAAAACAATAAAGAATCTTTTAAATCGTCTACCTTTATTGATTAGTCATATTTAGGTGTAAAGGGGTACTTCTATTTAATTCCAGTCAATAAATCTCCATTCATTATACTTTCATTACGAGCAAAGTATCTTACTATGCCTTTTATTGTTATTAAGAATAAACAAAGAGATTTCATTCATGTTAAAACGTCAAATAAACACAACATTTCACAAATTTAAGGTTTGAATCCCTGAATTCTTAATAAGTATTGACATACAGTGGTTTAAGCAACACTGCTGTGTTGAAGGTAACTTATTAATAGATGGATAAATAACCTAATGTTTGTAGGATCAGGAAACAAAATGTTATAACTTCTGATCGTATGCCCTATTAAAACATAACGTAATGAAACCGCCAATTAGAAAACAGTGACTTATCGGTCAGATTATTGATGTATACACCCGTAAGAGTAGTCTACAGTGCTTCTTGGACCTTCTTCCTGTCTAGCCCTGACTGTTAACTTCAGAACACCAATCTCAGCTTCTGCGATATGAATCATTTATTTCAAACATGCTAGGTTTATATAGAAACCAAACAGACCACATCGTACCATAATAACCTAACAAGTAATAAGGCGAAAATGTGGCTTGAAAAGAATGAATAAATTAATCTGTTTAGAGACAAGAATAACCTATGTGGTCCCAACATAGGGATAACCATTACAAAATCCAAACCTAACTACCGGTTTGTTCTGTAGATATACATTATTAATAATAGTGCTGTAGTGTACAAGAACACCAGTGGAGACAATCGAATGTATTTCGACACAAAATCACACAACATCTTACTAAAATCTTAGAATCATACAGTAAATACTTCATTTGCGAAATTTCAGTCAATTATCTCAGAATTGACTGTTTCGTTCGTAAATATCGGTCAATCGTTTCAAATTTCATTGTTCCTGCATTTTCATATCAATTGCCTTACGTATGGGTGCTTTCCTTCTAGATGTTCTACTGAAATACATTCTATTCGAGATTATAATTATATACTGAGGTTCTCATCGAATAGTAAGTGATTGGAACGCTTTGCCCGAACAAATGGTATCAGCCCCATCAGTGAATATTTTCAAGGAGAAACTGGACCTTCAATGGAAGGCAATCTGTTAAGATTAACACAGGTTCACTAACCTACTATCCTTATTACTGGAGACTGAAGACTGATACTACTTATGTGAATATATGTAAATCATACCACAGTACTATTAGAACATTAAACGAACTACTATTAAATGGTTAATACTTCAAAAAATAAGCATTTACTTACCTAAGAATTCTGCTTTATCCATTATTGAAAATAAATAATCCCTTAAATATAATAATGACAAGTGCCTGAGATTCATCTAGGAACAATCATTCAATATTGGTAAATTGTCTTCGAAATCATAACTGTGTTAATACCAACTTTAATGTTGAAATGATTTCCGGTTATGAGAATGGGGATTTGTGGAGATTGTAGTGCGTTTATTAATCGAATTCATAAGTTAATAAAAGTGAGAACATCAGTGAAAACCTGGATGTACTGAACGGTCGTTTCATCCTAGTACGGGATTCCTGAGAAGTGTACATCCATGATCCTGCACAGAAGACTACAGTCCAGAATTTAACCTGCTGTAGAGTTGCATAATAAAACGAAACGTCAGTCTAGCAATTCCAGGTTTGCAGTAGTGATCTAACATTGATGAAATCATGATTTCAATCGAAAACTCAACAATCTCCATAACCATGTACTGATAATTAACATCTACTCACTAAGGACTAGCTTCAACATAGATTGTCTAAAGTTCTAGTAAAACATCGAAACCAAAGGAATTCATCCGTGTCTGTTGTGAGGCAAATACCCAATAAAGACAATCTTGGACGGTTGAGCAAAGTCAATAACATACAATGTCATAAATTATAAAATGAACAACATACATAATGTAAAAATACAATGACTTACAACCACAATTGACCTCTGGAATATAACAATAACAAATTGTAGGACAAATTATTACCAGTGATCTTCTTGGAGTTAAAAATACATAAAGATATCTGTGATGTTTGTATGAACCAATGATTACTTTGTACATGATGATTGCCTGATTTGGAATTCTAAATACAATACGTTCGTTCATGCTTCTCTGATATTTCATGGTCAAATTGTGTTATTTCTGAGATTTCTAGTTCGTATTATCATTCAAATACTTCCAGTTCGTTAGTATTCACTCTGTGAATATACGTATTAACAGAAAGAGTTTTTGTGGAGATTTTTGTAATTTAGTAATTGAATTCATGAGTTCAATGCTTTCAGATTTTTCATGATGCTCTGACTTTAATTGACTCATGAATTCAATTATAAATCTACTAAAATCTTCACAAAACCCCTTCTGATATTAATGATCATGTGATCACTGGTGACTGGTTTCAAGGGTTATTTCCTAGAGTTCTGATGAGAAGCAGTGACCAATCGAGTGATAGTGACTCATTAAAGGTAATGGTGAATGGTGGCTCAATTTCGTGGATTAGGTGAAGCTAGACATTACCACGGTTGGATGCCAACCATCTCAGTGGTTTAGAGATTAAGGACTCGCGTGGGATACCGATGATCCTGAATTTGAATCTCGTGGGGAGGGATAAGGGGAACTCATTTCTGAAAAGTCCCACAATAGGACGAAACGGTCGTCCAGTGTCCCAGGTTTACCATGAAGTTCTAGATTTAATCAACTCATAAATCCAACTATTAAATCAATAAACTTACGTTTCAATACATTCATTCGGAGTAAACTTACTTATTGAGTATGGTCATATTAGATGAATTCGTTGGTTTTGATACTGGAAAATTAGAAGTATGATAAACATATTCAATATGATTTATGGAAAGATACAAACAAACTTCTTACTGGTCATATTGTTGAACATAACACAAATTTGATGCTATAAAACTCCAAAGATAACTATTCCTCCTTACTTGAAGTTGTTTCATTGTTGTGAATTGGTTTCGAATGATTATGGTCAATAAAAAGTAAACCGATTATGATTAAACTAATCAACATTTTATTGAGTTTTTTCCATATAGAGTTATTTAATTTATTTCCATTTATATACCTGTTTATTCTGGTTTACTTAGACAACACGTTAATGTAAACATTATGTTTCATTGGTTTCAACTAAAGCTAACTCTATATTAGGTTGTGATATGAATTCTATGTCATAGAATGATCGATAGGTTTCTTCAACAAATTTTTTTTTCACTAAACAAATAACGAGTTTGAGGCTAAATAAATATAGTGAATTCATTAAATTTGGACATTAACACTGTCGGATATCGACTCAATGACCTGGAGATTGATAGATCACGCGCAAAATCAAAGGTTTTGGGTTTTGATCCTACCGGTGGTGTCACGGATTTACACTGCCGTGGAGTCCCAAACTGTGATAGAACTGCTCTTTCACTGATACTTTGTTTTCAGCGGTGATCTAGATAAAATCAATTCAAGATTCGTTGAGTTTAAGTTCTAAATATGACAACATAAACTACTGAAGATTGTAGTAGTTATTTATCAAGAGTTGTTGATGATACATCGAGAATGTATAGGAAACAAAATTGCAGTCATAACAAGAAGACGTATATTATTGATAATTATTTCGTGACTAACTTTAAGAGTGGACAATTAGAATTCCAGCGAGGAGCCGTGATCAGTGAAGTTCGATCTGTGCTGGGTGTCAGATGGTTATCTACTTTGTGCAATCGATGACTGTTTGTTCAAGATCATAGATTGATTAAAGTTAAGCATAAACACCGTTGGATACCAACTCAATGATGTAGAGGCTCAGTGTTCGTGAGCGAGATAGAAAGTATGGGGTTCGATTCCGGAGTGTGAGAAAATGGATACCTACTACTAAGCTGTTCCATACTACAGTGAAATCTAAGTTACATACAATAGTAGACTTAGGACTTACGTACTCCTGCCATTTGTCGTTTACGGAAGAGGTGTTTAAACAGACCCCCAAGTCTCAACGTCCTATTGATTGTATAACTGGAAACTTTTATAACAACGAATCACGTATTTCAAAGTAGAAAGCTTGTGTCCCACCACTCCTAGAATACTGCGGGCTTATTATTAGTCGTATACTCATAAAGGATAAATTTGGGTTGGAATCATTACAGAAGCAATTTACTCTTCGGATTCTTGGAACTGATTGCTCTATAATTTCAGATGTAATGAACTTGGGCTCGGCTATTTATGGAAGAGGAAATTGAAACTATATTTGATCTTTTTCTTCAGAATACTTAATAAGCTCTCTATTAAATTCATTCAAGTAATTCAATATGCAGAAACTTCGAGGTTTATTGTGACTTATCACTGTTTGACAAACTCTAGTCCTTGCACGATAGCTTTTCGAAACCGTTTCACAAATAACAATTCGAATTCGAATGGTCTTCATCAAAACGAAAATATATTCACATAAATTAGGTCTGATCACTATTATCGTCGAGTAGTTATCAGTTCATGAGAATGCTTTTCGGTCGGAGCCATTTGCTTCTAACAATAAATAGAACTTAACAGTGATAAACTCGTTGTAACGGAAAGAGAATGATGAAAATCCCTTCGCAAATTTTTGTTGGATAGTTCTGTCATTTATTTGTTACTTCTCCCTGTCGTGTATTTTAACCTTTGTTCAGATCTAGTTTAACCACACCTTTTGTTTTTCAGTCTTCCTCGTCTTAGCCTTTATTGTGTGATTTTGATGATTGACTAATTTTTGTCACCTAATTTTCTATCGCATGTTGCTGGAACATTGACAGTAGGGTCGCATTTGGCTAAGCTCGAAGTCACGGCGTTGTTCAGTGTGTGATTGTTAACTTGCTTGGGAGGACTGCTGGAATGCTTGCGAATAGATATTTTATCCCATGTTGTTGTGAACAATTTTTTTTGATTTTGTCATATTTTGTATTTTTTATCAAATTTGTTCTATCTCCTAAATTATAACAGTTTAAATTGGGCACAATGTTTGTGTTGTGATATAATTTATACTAGTATCTCAAAACGCTTTGTAAGCTGTACAGAAGAGCGTAGCCTGGCCTATTCCAATACATTTTGGTTCGTCAGCCCTGCATTCGAGCGGAATACTGACTGGAATACCGCTGAACAACAACGAGTGAATGTTTGTACTATGTGAACATTTCAATCCCACATATCCGAGTTTTTCTTGTGCTTCTTAAGCTAGACCTCCTTCAGAACGATTCCATATCTACTGCAAACCACTCTGTTGCCGCCGTCAAATTACATAACATCGATACAGACGTTATTAGATATTTCACACTTAATTATTTCTGTTTTGTTTAATTCACTGACACTGTTCAACGGGTGACATTGAAGAAAACATTATCAATAGGAGCTTGTGTTTTAAAATAATTAAGATGACGTGTCTAGTAATAATTCAAATGAAGTTCGTGGAGTGGTACTGCAGTATTACCATACCGCCATGGTAGAAAGGAACAACCACACACAATTTAAAACAACAGTCAACTAAAGAATATTGCAAAGCAAAGAACACACTTCTAAAAACTTTCTTTCGGTAACAAGACAAAATCCGCTTCATGTCAACACAGAACTTTGTGCACAAACTACGATGTGTCGATTGCTATGTCTTGTATATCGCAGTTTCATTTCGTCAAATCTTAAATCGAGTCGAAGAACATCTTACTTACGAAAAGAAATCACCTAATATTCCATAGAACTCTTAAGACGCTAAATTAAATCTGCAATAGTAGTTCACGCCATTTTCATCAACCACAAAATCGATACCAAAATCATCGAAACAATACAAAATAGCATTTCCAAATACAAAAAAAAGAGAAGGGCTGAAGCTTTCCATATAAGACACTCAATAGAAAAGAGGGCTTTACTATCCAAATACAACGCGATACTTTCTCACCACAAAGGTCACCTACATTCATCCCTGGCCTTGCACACACACAAATGTACATACCTGACACTTTTAAGTCACCTTGACCGAAATGACATGACAGTGAATCGTTCAGACCAGCTTTTTGGTTGATCGGACTTGATATTCTTGTTTTGTTTCTCTGAGCTTTTTCAAATTGGATTAATTTTGGTTTGGTTATTTATTCTCTTACGAAGTGGCTGACAATGAGTCACGAAACATCAGAAAGTTTAATTTCTTCGCTTATTAGGATAAATACAAATATATTATTTTGATAATGTCAAGTACATAGGAGAAGAATGCTTTATTCAACAAGGACGATCATAGAGAGTGGTTGATCACGCTGACAGAACATCAAGTTACAACTGCAGTAAATCAAACAATGGGGTTTCCGAAAAATATGTTTCGCACAAACCAAGACTCATTCCACCTTTCATAATATGCAAAAGGTTAAAATAACTCATCTTATACCCTCCCTGTGTAAGAATGTCTTATGCCGCAAATTCATTAAGAGTTTTTTAGCGATTACCAGACCGTTCTTCATCATATGAAATAATCCCACAACTCACCATCAGAATCAGCATTACTCAAAACCGAAATATTCACAGCATACCAGGTTTTGAAAACCGAAAGACCCAACAGCGAATAAATACAAACCAATTTATGCAAACTTCAAGAAGTGCCACAACGGTCAAAATGGACAATTTCTTGGTGGACAAATACAAAATCGTTGGTTAGCAGTGAATATACACAAGACACTATCAATTATATCAATCGATGTTGACAACTACGGATAGCAATTTTGACTCAAGAATTATCATAAATGTGGTTCAAATAAATTCTAAGAATTTTGGTTATTTTCAAGAAGGCTAGTACTTAAATCAACTCGCAATCAGGAATCACATCAATGAGGATCCACTTTATCGATCCACTAGGTTAATGTCGCACAGTCATATTATCAATGCATGACAAAACAGTGAACAGGTAGAATAGGACGCATGAATATAATAAAACGTGAGAAGATTACGAGTTGGAAATAAGTTTATCAACTAAGATTAACGCATTGTCTTTTAAATGATAAGATAGTCCACTCAACTTTCTGTTAGATAGAACGCCAAAGGAGGCCTCAAAATATTACCATGTTGAGAAGTTTAAAACGTGTTTAAAACCGATCAGTTTAATTTCATTTTTTATTGGACAAATATGATTGCTCCATCTTTAAACAAATGATAATAAATTTGGACTCTTACCTTCTACTTTAGTAGTAATAATGACAAATGCGTTTCAATATGTGTTTTCTATGGTGAGATTGAATTTTCTTACGATATATACTGTCTATGGCATATTAAACACAGAAGACCGGAATGAATAAAAGCGTTCAACTAACAAACTGAGTTATGAGTTGCTATTTAATGTGGTGTGGAGTAATCAATGGACAGATGATCACCTTCCTTCATTAAAATGCTTCCAGAACAACACCTCAGTTACCATTGTCCAGATGATTTTGCACACATTCAAGCTTGATCAGATAAATTTAAACTATTATGATGATTCTTTCATAGATAACCTATGCTGAAATCAGTTTAAATCCATTTCGTTTACTGTTCACGATTTTGATCGATTTTCCAAAGACGATCAGTTTGGACAAATCAAAGTACCGTAGATTTATGTAATGTAATTAAAGAATAGCGTCAATTAAGTGTTCCAGAAGTGGAAGATGAAAGAGTGAGTTTAAGTGATGACACCAGCTTTTCTCAAAAAGATTAACTGGAACTCTTCACAGTAAATTTGTGAAAATACGCTGAGCCCATTTGTACTTGTCCTAATTAAGTAGGTCGAGGAAATACAAAATGCATACTCAAAAATGTCAGATTGCTGGGGTTGTTTTGAATGATGCTCCTGTAGCATTCCAGCTCTCTCGAACTATATATGGGTTAGAATATCAGAGCGGGATGGTTTGACTTACTGAAGTAGGCTAAATATACCGAAAACTATGTCTAAATTCGACTTATACTAACTCCAACCATCTAACATCAGAACATGACACACATGTAAGAATGCGGGTTGTATTACATTTCGATCTATGAGATATAATCAGATGTATAAATAATCAGATAAGTA